AGGAATCTCTACTGGGACCTTCTTTCCACACTCCCATATCGCGTCACTTCACTTCAAACGATTTAAAAACCAATATTTCCAATTTCTTATGGAACAAATATACACAAATTATAAATGATTGTTAAGGTTTTCAAAAGCCCCGCCCATTGGGCATGTGACGTTAGACAGATAGATGGACAAGTAACCCATCGGCGACCAGTGTTACTTTTTTTGTAATTCTTAGTTAACTTTTAATCATATTTGTTGTCTAATTTATATTCAATTTTTTTTTTTGCAGGGATTTAAGCTATTTCTACAAACCTGTCGATTCTGACTACATTTGTAGTAAAAGCAGCAACTCAGGAATGCATTTCTGTGCAAATTTACCAAACTATAAAAATGGCAATGTTGTATGTACTTTGACGGTAGAAGAAAAAAAATATCCTGAATATAGAGACAACGATTCTTACTGTGTTAATTGGAATCAGTATTATACGCTGTGCTCAGATAAAAACCAAAATCCCTTTCAAGATACTATATCTTTTGATAATATAGGATTAGCTTGGATTGCAATATTTTTGGTAAGTAGTTAAATTTGTTTAGAATGAATCACATTTGTGTTGAATTAAGTGTATGAATATTTTTTTAGAAGAAGAAAAAAAGCTTCTATAATATATGAGTTCCTATAAATATTATAAAAACTATCGAAAACATCTACCAAAACAACAAAATGGAAGTCAGAATAATACAGGCGGCGGAATAAAACAAGGGGATTCTTGACCCCATGCCCTTCAATTTGATCATGGATGAAATCATCAAAACCATTAACAAAGGAAGAGGATACAGAATGGGAAAACAAAAAAATCAAAATACTTTGTTACGCAGACGACGCAATATTGATAGCTCAAGATGAAGATAGTCTGCAAAGACTGGTCCACAGATTTAACATAAGAGCAAAATAATTTAATACGACAAACACATCTCAGAAAACAATAGTAGTCAGCAAATAACCAACCAGATGTAAAATAGCAATTGATAGCATCAGTATTGAACAAGTAATGGAAATAAAATACCTATTATCACACTATTTAGCTAGGGAGACCTAGACAAAGAAGTGAGAGGTCAAGTACAAAAAACATATAGACTGGCAGGATGCCCTAATAACACATTAGAATTATGGCGAAACAGACACATTTACTCTAGACATATAACTCAGAAATAAGTCACGATACATTCCTAACGCAAAGGCTACTGGGAACGGCAGATATGATAGTACTGGGAAAAATTGCAAGAAATACGATGAGGGATCGAAAGAAAAGTGAAGACATTAAAAGAAAATGTAACGTATAGTGTATAAATGAATAGACACAAAATAGACAACCTCCCATAGAGGTATTAATCCGCCAATGAACAAGCAGAATTGCTTATAAAGAGGAAGAAGAAAAAGAAGAAAAAAATTTTATTATTAAATCGTAATAAATATCACATTACACTGTTGTGAGAAATTATATTTCGTTAACTTGGATTCTCGACTTATTTCTTTACGTTTTTGCCCATTAGCAAAACTATGAATTTGTTAAAATAAAAAACTAAAAAAATGATCTACGAAAGACTTGCACTTTTCCATTAAACAAACTTACTATGTCGAATGCTTTCTTCAAAACGATCGTACATAGAAATGCTAGTCTATTATAGTCTATAACGATTTTCTTTCTTAAACAACTAAGTGTTTCTAAGTTTTCTATTTATTAATAAAATCATTTTAATTTTAGGTAATTTCATTGGAAGGTTGGACGGAAATAATGTACTATATTCAAGATGGCCATAGCTTTTGGGATTGGATTTATTTCGTACTACTTATAGTGGTGGGTATAAGATATTCTGTAAATATTATATATATATATATATATATATATATATATATATATATATATAGTATATATATATATATATATAATAGTAAGAAAAAAGAAGTACTTGTGACTCGTTTGGAAAAAATATAACACTGTTTTTGATGGGTTGGAGTCAATAAAAGGGGCTATTTGTTGACTATTTTTTAACTCGAGCTTTCAATTGTGATTACAATTTTTATCAAGAGCTTCTAAAAAATACAAAATGTCTTACAAAGTTGAACTAGAAATAAAAAATTTTTTTGTTAACTCACCAAATAAAATTAGTTTTTTATATAAAACTACTGCTTACATAATAAATACAAAAAAATATTAATGAAAAAAAATGTCTTATTCTAATAAATGTTTCTCTGAAAAATTTAGATGAAGTTTCTTAAGAAAAAAAATTGAATTTATAAACAAAAAATAGAATAGCTACAACCAGCCTAAATGTCATAAATACTAACTTAAAAATTTTTATTTTTGACATATTGTCAAAAATAAAATTTTGTTTAAAAAATTCTTCTTTGTTTAGTAACAAAAAAGAAGAAGATTTATTCACCATTGATAGATGCCCGAAAAAATGTAACAAATACATGGAAAATTAAAAATGTGATATTTTACTGACTGCATAAATTAAATAGAAATTATATAATTATAAATTTTGCTTAAATTTTGAATTTCTGACCTTTTGTTTAAATTATTATCACTTTTGCTAAAACAAACCATTTCCAAAAAAGTTCTTTTAAATTTATTACTTTCATTACATAAAATTTTAATATTATCAAAATCCATAATATGGTCTTTGTCTATTACATGCTCTGCCAAAGCACAAGATGGTTTCTTAATTCTACAATCACTCTTGTGAGAAATAATGCGATTTGAGAGATTTCTTCCAGTCTCACCAATATACTCAGCTTCACACTGAGTACAAACAATGCTGTATACTAAATTTGTTTGATCTAATTTGTCTATAGGATATTTAGTTTTGGAATATAAAGATGAAATAATTTTGATGTTCTTTGTTGCTATTTTTATATTGTCAATAACCTTTAATGTTTGTATTAATTTTAGGAGTTAATGATGGTATAAAAAGGTAGTGAATGATAATATATGTTTTGATTGTTGGATACAGTGTTTTGAGAGATCTCAATTATATGTCCAAGATATTCTAGCTTGCGCTATTTCACTGTGGATATAATTTCACATGTTTTATCCATCCGACGTAGAACCTCAATGTTTGTTACTCGGTCCACCCAGGAGATCCTCAGTATCCGTCTATAACAACACATCTCAAACGCCTCGAGTCTTCCCATTGATGTCTCGGTTAGCGTCCATGATTCAACTTCATAGAGGAGCACTGTAAACACGTAGCATCTCAATAAGCGGATTTTTATTTTTAAGGGTAGGTAGTGGCTCTTAATTATCTTGCTCATTCTAACAAACGCTGACCTGGCTTTTTCAATTCTGTTTTATCTCAACTGAGTGGTGCCATTGGTCGTTTCTTTTGTTAGGTACCTGATTTGTGAGTTTTATTCAGTTATATTTGACAGCACTGTTTTCAATTGCTATCTTTTTTTCGAGACACTGCTGTTATAGTGCCATGCCATGCTTTAAGATTAGTGTACCTCGGCCAATACTTTGAAAAGTGTAACTAAACTTTCGGCATCATTTCCATTTGGATAATGCAACCTGAGTTGAACTTCGTTAGACTGGTTAATTTCCTGAGCCAAAGTATCTTCATCTTCTGAAACTCTCATATATTTTTAACAGTTCCTCTGCATCTTTGGGATTATTAGGATCATATTTTTTCGTCATTTTTTTTTAAACAGAAACAATATTGATTAGGTATCACGATTGCTCAATGTATTATATATCATATGCAAGAATCAAAGATCCTCAAAGACTAGTTGAACACTACAAAAGATTTTTTTAAAATAAGGTTAAAAAAAGCGGTTATAAATTTCTAAAGTTATCATAACAAATCACCTTCTAACATCTACTCTAGAGCCTATATTGGCAAAATATGTAGCAGTGTCTCGCCTATTATTTAAAATACGGTGGTCATTAATGGGTTAACCTAGTGTTGTTGATTTAATTACTTATTATTTTCCACGCAATGACTTTTTCTGAAATAATCTCCGGAAAAATCGCTACATCATTATTAATAATAAAAGTAAAATATCACACAAAATAAGAGCAGTAAATGTGTAATTAAACTGTAAATATTATCAAGTCTAAAAAACTGCAATGTTCTTTATACGTGGTTTACTTCTGTTGGACTATTAGGAAAATATTAAAAAAGTTAGGGTTGTAATTTTATACTGAATTTTTTTTTTCAGATTGGATCGTTCTTTATGATAAACTTGTGCCTTGTCGTCATTGCCACTCAATTTTCTGAAACAAAGAAGCGAGAAATGGAGCGGATGCGTCTAGAACGAGCGAGATTTCAAAGTAGCAGTACCCTAGCATCGTCTACAAATAATAGCGAACCTTCTAGCTGTTACGCTGAAATTATTAAATACATTGCACACTTATGGCGAAGATCCAAACGAAAGGTTTTAATAAAAATTCGGTTTTACATTTTAAGACGGAATCAAAGAAGTCAGTTAATAGCTGGAGATACTATTCGACTAAACTATGGTAAACAGCACCATCCCAATTGCTCCAAACTTACCTTAATTGTAAGTATAAACAGTCAAAAACTATAATTTGATTTTTTGCTAGTTATTAATAAATAAATAACAATTTTTCATGAAGAATTTTGGTGTGCCTCTCATTTATAATTTGTTTAATCAGTGCGACATAAACTTGAAAAGAAACTTTCTATATTTTAAAGTTATCAAGGTTTATACTAATGCTACAGGAAAATAAAACCAGCATTTTTAGGATAAAATTATTAGCTTCTCAACCTTTTAGGTTAAAAGCGTAAATACATTATTAATGTTATGTTTATAATACAATTTAAAAAAATAGACAAAATAGACGGTTGACTAAAATTGTTATACTCAGTACACTGCTCGCAGTCCCAAATGTGTAGTAAATGTATTACTTAATTTTATTGTTTTCTAGAGCTCTGCGAACTTACTTTCTCCAGCGTCTGTTTCAAGTAACACGAGAAGATCATCGGTAATGTTTAGCGATCTAATTATATTACATGGACAGAATAGCTCCACGACAGCTTATAAGAAAAACGTATGTTCAAGCGAGAAAACAACTCAAGCAGGTACCGATTTTAATTTCATACTCTCCTAATGTAGTTAGATTTTGTCTATTAAATCAGGAATCTATTTTGAGATAAGATAATGCCAAGTGCAATTTAAGCTGATGTTTGTTTGCTTTAGATAGAATGTGAAAAAACTGTTGTTTTATACAGAGTGAACCAAAAGTCTGGAAACTCCATTTATGAAGTCACGGTAACCAGTTCAGTGGATGTTCTGCAATGAGTCATATATTCTTCTGAGCAATAAAAACAATGTTTTAGAAGATATTTTTTTAACACTATATCAAAACTATTACAGTTTAGCTGTTTAATACTTTTTGGTAAAATATTATAATAGTTATAAGACAATTCTTTTTCTGAAAGACTTAATCTTCAGCGATTTGTTCATAGGTAGTGACAGTTTCGCATATTGTAACATGGGCATCAGACTGCTTTTATTAAATGGCCCATTTTTTGTGAATTTCAGTTAGAACTTAAAATATCAACAGAGTAGGTATGGCATAATTTTGAATTTGATAAAGAAAGATCGGCAATGTTCTAGATAACTAACCCCTGCTATAATCCTGACAGCTTTCTTTTGCATTCTAAAAATTTGAAGAGCGTTTGTTGAATTGTCTCATATGATTACAACATAGTTTAGGTGAGAATGGAATAAAGAAAAATATATCATTTTTAATGTTTCAAAGTTGACAACCCTTGCTAGTTGGCGAATAACAAATAATGCAATTGATAGCTTTTTCTTAAGTTGTGAGATATGAGCCGACCAGTTGAGTGGATTATCTATGGTTATTCCCAATAGTTTAACAATCTCTTTTTTATCTGGATCGTTGTGTAAATTACTTGCAAAAATAACCAAATTTTGCGTTTTCTCAGAAATAAGTTTTAGTTTGTTTGCAGTGAACCATGAGCTAGATTTAGTAAAATTCTTGAATATTGATGCTACATGGATATTTTGTCATTTTAAGCATTTGTTAAATAGTTGAACCAACATCTCATTCTAATATTTTTCGTCCATACTTTACGAACTCTAATTGGGATGTCTCCAAATCCTGCTGCTTTACCGTTTTTCGATCTTTTAAGGGCATCGTTTAACTCTTCGGTTGTTATCTCAATTATTTGTGTGTGTTCGGATATTTCTTCCATTTCCATCTCTTGGAATTTACATCTATCCTCTGTCAGTAAGACCATATTGGTGTTTCCACTGTTTCAGATCTATTAACTGTAAGTTAGATTTGTCCTTTCCTTCCCAACAAGCTTGCCCAACTCTTGTTTCACCCATATACCTATCTACCTCTGCACATCTTCGATCCCACATCTCATTTTTACTTTTCATTACTTCTCTTTTTACATCTCGATTTAGTTTTTGATATATCTTGTAATTTTCCTTCGTTCTCGTTAACATCCATTTCTAATAAGCAGTTTTCTTCTTGTTGACTAACGTTTGTATATTCTCCGACCACCATTTTTGATTTTTTGTTTCATGTTTGTCTTTATAATGCAAAGCTTCACTTGCAGCCTCATGAATGTATTTTTTAAGTTGCTGGTATAATTCTTCCGCTGATATATTTTCTCGATCCACATTTTGTAATTTTGTGGCCAGTCGTAATTTGTAAAGAAATTTACAATTTAGTTACTTAACGTAACTTGTCAAATTATATACTTTATTTTGATAAAAGTTTGTAGACGCTTCTAGGTTTCGCCCTCTGTTGTCTTTATGTGCTGAAAATTTCTTTGAAGTTAAGTCAAGTTAAATCATTTAGTTGTAGTTTGGATCAAATATTTATTGAGTATATTCGGCATTTTCAGGCTTGTGTTTTATCTCTTTAATATGTGGACTGCATGAAATCAAAAGTATTGTAGTGGTTGTATTTAAAAGACCGAAGTGACTAATGATATAAGAAAAATAGTAAATCTGGCAACATTACAAACCATCCAATTAAAAGATAATTATATGTTTCCAGACTTTTGGTTCTCTCTATATTGTTAAAAAAATACAAAAATAGAAAGTTAAAATGTTTTTCTTTATTTTTATAGCTTTAATTTTACATATTCCTCTATATCTCAAAACAGACAAAACTGGACTGGTCACTTTTTTTATAGTTGGCTCAATTTTAAATATTATCCGATACTTTTTTATGAAATATGAAAATTTCTATTATAAAAAACATATTTTAAACATTTCATTAATATTGTAGGAGATGGAAATATTTGGCAAATTGCTACAGCTTCAGATCAACCTGACATTCAAACACAACAAATTCAGCAACAATGTAACAATCTTATGAACGGTGAAACGTTAACGTGCCAAGAATTACTAGCTTTAGGGGCCATAAATGCCGCCCTTTCGACTGGCCAAATACTCCTAGATATATTTTTCAATTCAATTACGAAAGGTATTAAAAAAGACAGTGAAAACAATTATCTTCAGCATGTTTCAGACGACAACTTTTCCTGCTGTCAAGATCTCTGGCAATGCGAAGTTGAATATAAAACTGAGAAGCGAACAAAATTATATATTTATTGCTGCTTAGTGTTAAAAGGAATTCTTAAAGCATTTAAAGTGTTCAGAAAAAAAATTAAAAAGATAGTAGTACACAAGTGTTTCCAGGAGGGCATCCTTGTAGCAATCTTAATAAATACACTTTCGATGGGTATTGAACATCACAACCAGGCGGAGATATTGACACATATTGTTGAAGTAACTAATATTATATTTTCTGCCATATTTGGCGTTGAGATGCTGCTAAAAATTATTGCAGAAGGTCCTTTTGGTTATATATCTAATGGATTTAATGTATTTGATGGGATTATTGTAGTTCTAAGGTAAGAAATTTACTTTATACCTTAAATTGGAATATAAATATTGTAATAAAAATTGGTATGCAACGTTAAAAATATTTTTTCGATTTAAAAGTCCTCAACGCATATAAAATAGTTACGCTAATTCTGATCTCATTGTGATAAAAAAGCTTTAACAAGCGAACATTCATAAAATGTTGTGGCTACCACCCATTAGACGTTGAATGATTTATTGGTCTTCCGAGCCATATTCAAAACGTGCAGTTTAAGAAAACATCTTCCCAGGTGTCAACCAACAGTTTTAGAAGGATAATATTTGTGTTTCTGTGGTAGAAACGTTCTTATTTTGCTGAAGGATTTCTGTATCCGTCTTGGTTTAGTTAACGAAGAGAAAATAATACCTCACAGAGGAGTATGCTTAAAGTCTTAGACAAATAAATACTATTAGGTAAGTATGCAGTATCTATTTTACCACTGCATTTATATGATAATCAATAATTTGTAGCGGTTGCTGAAGTCCGAAAGATTTGTACATATTACATTGGTCTTGCCTGACCATTTTGTGTATACGCAAATGAGGACCTGGCTGCTGCAAATGTCGCCATCGGTTAGTAAACCTGAGACAGCAACATTTTCATCCAGTTAAACAGTCAGAAAAACTCTCACCGCTGATGTCAACTAATGCTTCTATTGCTAGTGCTATTTTGCTGATCTTCTTTTAATAAACCGGATTTTTTAAAGCAGTTGTCAAAAAAAATCATGATATATTCAATATGCACAGGAAGATCAATAGAAATGGCAGGAATATATAGAACAACAATGTCCATCGTACTGTTTGATGAAGATGAAAACGTACTATTTAATACGCAAGAAAAACTGGAAAGATGGCAGGAATATATAGCAGAACTGTTCAGTGACAACCAACACATTGAAGTATATAGAAAGTCGAAAATCGACCAACAATAACAAAATCAGAAGTAAAATCTGCTATAAGTTGTCTAAAAAACAACAAAGTCGCCAGAACCTGATGAAATATATGCTGAGGTATTGAAATTGATAGAAACAATCAACTTGACATTAGGCAGAATTATTTAACCGTCATTATGAAACAGGAACTTTACCTAAAAGATTGGTACATGTCCATATTTATACAAGTGCCAAAAAAAGCAAATACTAAGAAATGTATGTAAGAACACCCAATCATTAGCCTCATGAACCGCTTACTCAAAATATTCTTAAACATCATCCATGCTCGCATATACAAGAAATTGGAGGAGGGTATTGCTGATGTACAATTTGGATTTCGCAGCGGTCTTGGCACAAGAGAAGCACTTTTTAGCATAAAAGTATTGATACAACGAGCAAGAGATGTTAATATAGATGTCTTTGCATGTTTCATTAACTTCGAAAAGGTATTTGACAAAGTACAGCATGAGAGGCTTATTGAAACATTTGCAAATCGTAAACATCGATGAGAAGGATATAAGAATAATAGCCAATCTCTATAGAAAACAAGTAGCCAAGGCTCGAGTAGACAATCATTATCCGATGAAATACGACAAGGTTGCATACTCTCGCCTTTGCTGTTTAATGCGTACTCTGAACATCTATTTCAAGAAGCTTTGGAGAAACGACTAATGGCATGATTGTTACTGGTGAAGTAATAAATAATCTAAGATATGCAGACGACACTGTCCTTGTTGCGGATAATGCTGAAGGATTACAAAGACTGATAGATTTAGTAGTTAACATCGGTAGAAAATATGGAATGAAACTTAATAATAAGAAGACGAAAATTATGATCATAAGCAAAAACCAAGATACAGATGCAAAGTTTATGGCAGACAATGAGGTATTGGATAGAACAGAAAAAATAACATACCTAGGATGCAACATCACAGACAGCTGGGATCACTTATACGAGATTAAATGTAGGATCGAAGAAGCAAGGAGTGCCTTCCAACAGATGAAGAAAGTTCTCTGCAATTTAACCTTGAACTTACATCTCCGACTCAAATCCTTAATTGTTATGTGTTTTCTGTTCTTATATATGGAGCAGAGGCATGGATACTCACTGATGCGTCTTGCAGACGATTGCAGTCTTTCGAGATGTGGTGCTATCGTCGCATGCTCAGAATATCATATGTACATCATATAACTAACGACGCAGTAATGCAACCTTTACAAAAAAACCTAAAGTCTTGAAACCGTTAAGAGAGAAAGTTAGTATCTTCGAACATATAGTGAGAAATGAAAATAAATACAGAATCCTACTATTGATATTAGAAGAGAAAATAGAAGGAAATAGAGGTATCAGAACGCCGCCGAATATCCTGGCTTAAGAATTTGAGACAGTGGACAGGTATGACCACCACAGATATTTCGAACAGCTGCTAATAAAATACGATGAGCCATTGTGGTAGCCAACATCCATAGAGGATAGGCACTAGCAGAAGAAGAAGATTGAGAATTATTAGGGGTGTTACACCTCTCCATGCTTTGTCAATCAGTAAAATAGCTGTCAGAACCGTGATATTTGCAGTTAGTTTCTTGTCGAGAGATTCTAAAACGAGCTTAACAATTTCTTTGCGATAGAATGTCTTAAAATTATGAGTGATCCCTTGGTCCAATGGTTGCAATTTGGAAGTTGCATTTGGCGAAAAAAAGTAGAGTTTTACGATGAACAATGTAGGAGGACTGTTGTGGACAGTGCAATTGTTTAAAAATAGTAAAAATTTTCCGCGTTTGCCATTTCATGTCCCCATTAACTGTTAAAAGGCAATTGTTAAAAAGTTTTGTCGTCATCCAAGTTTTTTATTAACACGATAATCCATAATAGACACTTTTTGTCCTCTACACTGTCTTATCCAAATGACTAGACTTTTTTTCAGACGAGAAAATTCACCTTTAGTAGTTCTTTTCCGTACTCCAGCAGTTTGAGCATCTGAACATTAATTTTCTCCTTGTGCTTTATTATGGTTGACAGACTATTCAGAGAAATCTTAAATTCTTTTGCAACATCACTTTTCTTCTTATCTTTCTCTACTTTTTGAATTAAGTTCTTCTTTTCAGTAATCGTCAAACATTTATTCTTTCTAGTAGTCATGACTAACAAAATTTTAATCTGTTTACCAACGAAAGAGTAACAGTAACTAATAACTAAACAAACCAATTCGTGAGAAGTGTGTGTCAAATATGTAGTCAAATTAATTATAACAAAAACAAAGGCGCATTACATACAATTTTTCCGAATCTGTTTCTCTGCAACTTTGAATTGTTGAGTGTTGGATGCCGATGAGTTTCAATTAACGCCTCGTTTTGTTATATATCAATGATTGCTTTCGTTCGAATTACCAAGTGCATAAAAATGTATTGATTTAGTTCGAAACATGAAGAGATTTTGTAGGGAACTCGTGATAACTTTGAATTATAGAGAGGTTCGAATTATCGCAGGTTTGAATTAACGCGAGTCTACTCTATATCTAAAATTTGGATCAAGTCAGTATTATTACATATAATTATTAAGAGCTATACTAATTAGATGGTAGAAATACAAATATTACTATTTTTATTCTGTATTTATTGTATTTATTTATGATAATAATTCTTTGATGCTTTGTTGCATGCGTTTTAGTTTTTTAGTTATTTCAATTATTTTTAATGTATTTTTAGTGCTGTAGAGCTATTCAGAAATTGCACCAGCGACCTTCACACAGATTCGGGATTATCCGTACTGAGAACTTTCCGACTATTGAGAATATTGAAACTAGTGAGATTTATGCCAAATTTAAGGAGACAGCTATTTGTTATGTTAAGAACGATGGATAATGTAGCAATATTTTTCTCCCTACTGATACTCTTCATTTTTATTTTTCAGGTAAGCATTGTTCTGTTAGTGAATGCAACTAGACATCAATGAAACACTAACTGTTTTATTTGCACTGTATTTTATAATATGATGGTTTTTATTGACGGCAGATTAATACAATCTATATGTGTCAAAAAATTAAACTAAAGGGTGGAGGCAGTTATCAGATTATCAGATTAGCTATGCGGAAAACAATGTTTCACATAGAGATACAACAACAACAACAAAGGGAGATATATATATATATATAGTATATATATTATATATATATATATTATGTAAAATTAGTATTTCTTGGGTGTTAGTAATATTAAATATGGAACTAGATTTTATTGTTCCAACATTTCGGCAGGAAACCCTTGCCTTTGTCAAGATTCTAAAATGTACAAGAGTAGGAACAAAAAGCTATTGTGAAATATATAAAAAAAACTTACCAAAACGTAAAACGTTTTTCATATATTTTACAATAATTTTTTGTTCCTAATCTTGTACATTTCAGAATCTTGACAAAGACAAGGGTTTCCTGCCAAAACATTCATTTCAATGAAACAATAAAATCTAGTTCCAAATTTAATATTACTTTTTGAACCTAAACCCAAGCAAATGGTGGTGATGATCATGAGTAAACTATAGATATATTGTCAGAATAAAGATATTCTTAACATCGTCTCCCTGCTTTCAGAAAGCTAAGATTTCCTTACTTATATCTATCGCTATCGATGATAAGTCTTTTGACTTGATCTTTAGCGAACATAATACTGTTAAAAAAAACTTAAATTTATTCTTAACACATTTTAACGACAGTAACTAATAAAAATAATAAAAAATCAATAGAAAACGAAAAAATTTTTAAAAAAATACATGAATTTTAAAAGTATGTTACTATTCTACAAATAATTGCTTGAACTAAATAAGGAAATGACTGCGTTGGAGCAAAAGAGCAAAAATAAATATGTAAATAGTAAAAAACGCCATTCTAACAATATTATTTGGTAAGGAGCTAACTTTCGATTGTATAAGGTATATTATTAAAAATTATTATATTTAACAGTACAGTCCAATTTATAATAAACAGTAATTTTAGTATAAAAATTCGGAACACCAAATTTATTTTGTTTTTAACTTGGATCGTATCGAATTTGACTGCGTCGACTTTTTGGGCTACCACTTAAAATCATCATGAGATCTTCTGTTTGATCTGAGATCTCAATCTTCAATTCTTGTTCTTGTTCAATTTATTTCATTTCTACTACTACTACTGCTGGCACTATACAGTTTAGTAAAAGTAATACAGAACAATTGTTGGTGGGAGTAAATAAGAGGACTAGTCTAGTTTTCTAGTCAAGGTAACCGTATGCCGTCATCTGTTTTATTGAGACTAATTTGGCCTTTTTTCAATTATTTCTATGACTTTTGGATTCTCTTGGTTTATAGAAGCACATGTGGGTCTATGGTTCTGGAGTTTTTAAAATATAGTTTTAAAAATAAATTTAATATAATATAATAAGTATTATCTCATCCCTTTTTCAATTCCTTACAATTAAGTTAAAAAATACTTGCTTTTATAATGTGTAATTCTCATTACAATCAATTGTAGTTTAATCCCTCATAGATAGTACTGTATTGAAACCTGAGAAAATAAGAAATTTACGGAGTGACAAAGTTACCTACAGACACATCACGATGGAATTAATTTCTAATAAAACAATACAATCCTAAAATAATATAATGAAATAACGACGTTGTTAGAATTGTGGAATTTTTCAATTGTTCACGGTGTTAGATTTCGTTTTTGAGAATGAGTCACGCTCTTCAATATATTATTGAACTATAAAGAAATGACTCAAGAACAAAAAGAATAAAAAAATATTGTCAAAAGATGCACCAACTCTAGATCCTTAACGGTATAAGAGAAACGGGTATGTATGTAAATCTGTAAACTAATTTTTCGAAACAATTGTTTTTTGCTTAGTTGAAGAGATATGTTGTGGAATGCTATTGTAGATTTCCCTTGTCTCTAATAACATCTATATCAACGTCTGTTTTGCCTTGCAATTTTAGAAGGCACATATTAAAGCAGAAATCTGAATTGATTTCGAAAAATTAGTTTACGGATTTACTAACAGATGTCGCTATTTGCGTCCATACGAAGCCACGTTAGAGCTGCTTCTACTAAGACAGGAAATATTTATTTTCACGTCCAGAACGACTGTGAATAGCTGCTCCGAAGATCCCTTTTAGGGTGAAATACGTATAAGCGGATACACAGATGCACTATACATGAAATCAAATCTTAACTATCTTTTCCTTTAGTTATGTATGTATGTGAGAATATTATTCTAGGTACAAATATTGGCGGAGGTACTAATGTTTTGATTGTGGTATTCACCATTTGTTGATCTCTTGCTATTGTTTATATTATCTATTATTTATATATCCAAGTCGAAATTTTGTGAGTTACTTCGTCTCATATATCTACTTTCGAACAGTTGGTGTCGAACTTAAATAATATTTTATTCCAGATTTAGCCATACGGCTCACACTCCCTCTAAGGGGAAAATTCACTCATCCCAGATACCTACGGTATCAAAAGGATTGAGCTCTGGTGGAATTCTTTCCGTGTTATCGAGCCTTAGGTGACTTGAAGTATATCTCCAAAAATTTTCGTACACATCTGGACGTCGCGAGGAGTACAGCTTTCTGCATGGCCTTATAGAGATGTTCATTTAGACCCAGCTGTTTTATGTTCTTTAGGAGGTTTTTGGGAATAACACCAGTAGTAGATAGAATAATAGGTACTGTCTGGGTACTTTCCATTCTCCATTGTCGCCTGATTTGTATTTCTAGATCTCTGTACTGGGCGATCTTTTCATTGTATTTAACACGTAAATTATTGGTGTTGGGTATCGCCACATCAATAAGTGTTGTTTGCCTAGTAATTTTATTAACTACTATGAGATCCGGTCTATTATATGCCACTGGTTGGTCTGTAAGCACAGTGCAGTTATTTTATTTATTGTTAACATTTTTTGTGCGGATCGCCACTTAGGTAACTCTAGTTGATTAAATTGAGTAGAATCTTTAGATGATGAAATATGAGAAAATTTTTTATGTCATACTATGTAATTTCAACTTTCCTAAAAAAACGCAAATAAACAGTTAAAAATACTAGAATCGCATATCCAATACAAAATAATAAACACTACTTGTAATCTAATAGTTTTTTTTTCGAAGATAAATTAATATTACAAATAATATTCAGCTTAAAAGAAGAACTGAAACTAATTCTTCAAGATGATATAACATGCGTTGTAAACAAGATGAACAGAACCTTGAGATAAATTGGGTATAAGTTTGGTCTGAAGTCATTTCTTGTCGCTGATAAGATTCATGTCATAAAAGTCACTTGAGTTCATTTAAACTTGGAAAGAACTTAGGCAACTGGTACAAAACTATTTTCCCAACATAAACTATTTGCATTAAAAAATTTGTCCGTAACTCTCACTACATAAGTCATTTTCAATTACTTGTTATTTTACGCCATCGATATCCTATGAATTGTGTACATGATGTTACGCAAACTCTCTCTAGAACCGGCTAACTTGGTTTTTTTAACATTTTGGTATAACCGTCTGAGGTTTTTATATCTATATACCAATTTTAAATGTTCAAATGTAGTTATTTCAAATGTTTTCGTATCGACGGAATCTAAATTGTTTTTTTCTGTGTTTTGCACTTAATATGGTTTGTATAAAAGGATAATCGTTTTCCATCTTAAATACTATTTCCTTGTTTGACAATATTTATTTATGATGTGCCCGCTTATAATAACTGATTTTTTAACCTGTTCCTGTATTTTTTTCCAAAGTAATTATATGCCACAATTAAAATCTTACAGATTGCAATAGTATTGTAGTAAATTATTTTTAATCTGCTACATTGTGTTTACCAATAGTACCTTCTCGCAACGAGTTACAAATCCATATTTTTTAAATCTTGACAGTATCAAGTATCAAGATAAGCAAAATTTACAATGTATGTACGTTTAAAATGCGATAAAAGGTATGTCGAAAAGTGTTGCACAAAATTCAGTGGCTTTTGTATTAACAAAAACAAAGGATATCAGTTGCCTTTGGTTTTTTATTTTGTTTACTGTCAATTGATATTTAATTATTTTGTAGTTTTCATTTTAAGATGACGTATAAATTAGAGTAGAGAAAATTATCTATAAGTTGGTTGGATTGGTAGGACAAAGTGGAAATCTGTAGAATATTCCAGAATGAAAATATTTCACGCAGAACAACTTATAGGACAATAGCAGTGTCCGAGCAACGAATACCATGTTTGGCTCTCCCAAAATGTGAAAGACCACGAACATTTATTGTACAGAGTTCAGAAATAATGGTGAGAAGAGCAAAAAATCAGGTTTTAATGTGAACAAGAAACCTGCCGCGTTAATGAAGATCTTCTAAGAGTATGATATCGTCGGAATTGAGGAGGAATGGTCTTAAATATCGAAAGCGATATAATTGCCCCAAATACTCTCAAGCGCAATTCGTTGTCTACTGAGGCAGATACATTTTGGCAATAAAAAAATTATTATTAACATCCAATCCTAAGCCCGGATAAAATATGAAGGGTGATTGGCATGGTTGACAACCTACCAATCGTAAAATCAAATACTACTCAAAGAATCAATGTACAGCGTAGGAACCGAGTTGATACTATGACGACTACGGCAAGAAATAAGTTTGCTGATCTTGTAAGCTACTACTATTGTGTTCCAACCTGAAAAAAGCACTAAGAAATTGCAAATCAAATTCTGTGCAATGACTCGTCACATATAAAACGTAAAGGACAGTATAATTGATTATGAAACATTATTTACTTCAATTAAATGAAGTAGGTACAAAAAAACTTAGAGATAAATCGCAAACTGAAAAACCTTGCACAAATATAAAAGAAGTAAAGAAAAACCTCTACGTCTGCTTGAGCTGGTTGATACAAAAATCGTATACATAATCTCAAACTAAGCACGAGATGCAGATACGGAAAAATTCTGTATATATTTTATATTTTGCATATATTTTTAAAATTTGCGGCATGTCTGAATTTTGAGAACCGAATTTGTACTGTTTAGTTGAGATATTCTCTAAATAGCCTTAACTTGCGAATATGGTTTCAGGGCCAAAAGGTTCACCATAGATGTGGTCACAGAATTAACCTCTTTAGTCACGCAGAATACAAAGAGATGGGTGGTTCTCATCCTGCTTGACGTCAAAAATGCCTTTAATACGGCATCACGGGAAAAAATATGTCGAGGCTGAGAGAATTGGGCATAAGTGAGTACTTGGTCAACGTAATTGATAGGTACTTTACTGACAGGTCCATAAGAGAAAAAGATACAGCATCAGTTTGTCGCAGGGTGTTCCGCAAGGTTCAGTATTAAGTTCCATCCTGTGAAATGTCCTGTACGACGGGGTCTTGAGGCTGCAGATGCCAAGGGGATGCACTTTCGTAACTTATGCTGATGATCTCGCACTGGTTGCGAAGGCGAATCAGAAAACGGACATGGCTAATGCGGCTAATACAGCCCTGCGTCGCATTAGTAGGTGGATCAGAGAGAACGATCTTTATAGTTGAAGGTGTGGAAGTTGCACCGGTTAAATCAATTAAGTATCTGGGAGTCAGGTTGTCAGAAGGTCTAAGGTTCGAAGTATCACATCCAAAAGACAATAGAGAAGGCAAACGAAATCTGGAGGCGTTAATACGGCTGATTCCAAACATTGGAGGCCCAGGTAGTACCAAAAGAAAGGTGCTAAATGGAGTTTTTCAGTCGGTGGTAACCTACCTTGCCCCTGTGTGGTGTAGTGTACCAAACACTGCGAAATACGCTAAGCTGATGACGTCTTCGCAAAGGCAAATGCTTCTCAGGGTATCTAGCGCATATAGGACAGTTTCAAATGAGGCTCTATATGTCATTGGAACGGTGATGCTGATCGTTTTGTTGTGTAAAGAGCGAGCGAGGATGTATGCAAGGAGGATGAATGTAAATATAGATGAAAATGAGAGAGAAAGAACGAGAGTAGAGTGGCAGAGAGAATGGACAAATGATAGTGGAAAGGCAAGTTGGACGAAGGAACTTATTCCCGATCTGAGACCGTGGTGGGAATGTAAGTTCAGGAAACTAGACTACTTCCTGACGCAGTTTCTGAACGGACATGATTGGCATCTTCACAAATGGAATAGGCAAATCTACCTAGGCAGACTGTACTGTTTGTGGGGTACCGGACGCTCCCGCCCACATTTTTTACTGCTAGTGATAGGAGATTTCGAGAGGCGAATGGGTTTCAAGCTGGATGAAAGAAACATTGTAAAAGTAATGTTGAGAGGAGAAAAAGAATGGAGAAAGGTACACTGTCTGATTTCTGGCGTCATGAAGAAAAACGAGCAGGAGGACAGAGGAGGAAATTGAGCCACTGATCTGAAATTTATGGTTAATATTATTTACTAGTTTATGGCCTAACGTCTAAATTATTTTCTGATTTACGGTAATAGGTATGGTTATTTATAAATTTTTAGTTTTTTTTTATTTTATTTGTTTATTGAGTGGCAAGACCACCTCTCTGGAACGGTGGTTAAGGTTTTAGCCGGAACACAGTTAATCCGGTACTACCGTGCGGTCTTCTGGCCTAGTATCCTACTCTGCCAAAAGATGCCCCCGTTGCCTGTTAGAATTCAATGGATATCTTCTTAGGCTCTTACTGAAATCGGGCAATACGGCAATTAAAAAAAACCGATAATAAAAATGTTTTGACTGCAAGAAATTGTTTAAAAATAAATATTTATTATATTTAATTTGATATATATTCTCAAAACCATTGATTCAAACATTTACGGCTGAAGTTAATTTTTACGTTATGGCTAATTTGAAACTCATTAAGGCCAAAAATTAAGGTGCTTGCTTTGAAATTGCGTAAACGAGCTAATCGGAGCAAAGTAGATTTAAAATGTTTCTAATAATCGTAAAGTTAACCTTATGTAATGAGTTGTTAATTATTTTCGTTAAATTTTATGATTACGTTTATGCAACTGTGTTGTAGGATTCTTGTTATATACATACAGCTAACACTATTTTGTTAAAACTTGTTTGAGCTTAAATTGTATTTTTGGGATATTTTAGCATCCTTGGGATGAATATATTTGGTTGCAAGTTTTGCAAAGACGAATCGTCGTACAACAAAGAACAAGAATGTTTATCAAATAGCGATGAGGAGAAAGACAGGAAAAATTTCGATTCTCTATTATGGTCCCTTGTTACTGTGTTTCAGGTACTTTTGAGTTTTCTATTCAAGGTTTTACTTAATCCGATTTTAACTTATTTAACAGCTACATTTCCTCAATAATAACCAATACAAAACTTATTAACACTATCTTTAACACTAAAAAACAATGAAATCAATATTTACATCTGTTTTTATAAAAAAAATTCTGAGTACCTACTTTACGAAATCTATACAAACTTCATCCTATCAAACTTTTTCATTCTATATTTAAAAATATTTGCAAGTGATAGATCTCTATATTTTGTTATAACTCTCTTGTTTTCAGTGATTATCCAAATGATATAAACTCATATTTTTGGTTAAAAAAAAAAGATAGCTTGACGTAGAAATAGGTAAAAAAATTAAAATTTATTAATTTTTATACCAAATATTAAATGTATATTTTATGCTTGTATACGTTAAGATGTGGAGTTTTATCATAAATCTGTTTTTAAATACACTTCTTTAATTGATAAGTTGATATCGTTATATTGAAATAATAGTCTTTAATTACCATGCAGATCTGATCTGAACCACCTAAGATTTGCCGATGACATCGTTTTAATATCTGATAGAGTTGATAAAGCTACAAAAATGCTGCACACGCTCTATAAAGTGTCAAAAATAATTGGTCTTAAAATGAACACCTCAAAGACAAAATTTATGACCAATCAAAGATAAAATAAAAGTTACACAACGCGCTATGAAAAGATCAATATTAGGAATTACCATCAGAGATAAAGTACCAAACCTAGAAATAAGAAGAAGAATAGGAATCACAGATGCACTTGAAAAAATAGCCATGGTTAAATGAACTTAGGCCGGACATGTTGCCAGATTAACGGATGATAGATGGACCAGAAAGATTCTGGAATGGCGACCAAGGCAAGATGCGTATCGAAGCAGAGGACGACCACTGACTAGATGGACGGATGATATCAAGCGCATCACCACAAACCGGATGCAAGAAGCAAAAGATCGAAATAGGTGGACAATTTTACGGGAGGCCTACGTTCAGCAGTGGACAAATATAGGCTAATTGATGATGATGATTAATTAACATGCGCTTATGCCTTAATATTTACTAAGTTCTTTACAGCGCAGAGACTAAGATTGGCTGTACATATTGCTGGGATATCAGATAATGAGTACACGAAAAGAACGGTAGTCTCAAACCTAGAGGGCAGAAGAAATAGTGGAAGGACGTGCAAAAGATGGATTGGTGATAAAGATGAACACCTTATGATTCAAGAGTCAAAAAGCATAAAAGTTACTGGGAGTGGTGTATTCAAGATCCACAGAGGATTTTGGAATCAATTATGATGATGAGTCATATAAAAAGTTTCAATCAACAATAAATTATTGACATGCTTTTATAAAACAATTATAAAACCTATCAAAAATTATCTACCAAATTTTAAACTACAAAATTCGAATTCTAGGGCGTACTAAGGTGGTTTAATAAGTACTTAGCCTACAAAAGAAAAACGAATATTTTGGAAAAGTGTAGATTTATTTCTACACTTTCCTACTACTATATAACACTATAACATAATCTCCTTTGAGCTCGGCACTCTTGACACTCCAACGCGTGTTGGAGCGATGTTCCAATTTTTTTAACCCGTCTGAACAATATGTTTTCTAAAGTTCTGCAATGCATTCTTCCGTGGCGGCGATGCACTCTTGTTTAAAAACTTAAATTCAATTCGACCAATTTCACCATGGCGACGGCTGAGGTATAAGTCAGTCCGTTGTCATGGTGGAAGAGTACTGTTTTCTTTGCTAAGTGGGTCGTTTTTTCTGCAATTCGGAGTCGAATTAGCCCAATAATTCGACGTAGTAGAGCAGCCGTGTGACCATTTTGCCATTCTCCAGTTAGTCAACGTAGATTATCCTATGTGAATGCTAGAAAATGGTGGCCACACCTTTGCGACCGATAGTACAGTCTTAGCCTTCATTTTAGTACGTTTACCGAATGCCGCTACTATTTCGAGTGTTTCTTGGTCCCTGGTGTATATCAATAGATTCATGTGTTGTCAACGGTTACGAAACGATATAAAAACTCTGGGTTGGGTCTGGTCTGGTTGGGTTACGCTCAAAATAGCGTCAAACACTGCTCTGAAGTGGTCTAACGATTAAGCTTTTTGTCTGGATTGATCAAACGTGGCAATTATCGGGTCGACAGGTTTTTCACGCCCAAATTTCACATAGGATAAGATATACTCGGTATTTTGAGATGCCTACTGTTTCAGATAATTATTGTACCTTCAGTCGGCCGTCTGTAAATATCAAATCGTGAATTCTTGTCACGTTATTCTCCGTGGTAGCCGTTGAATCTCCTTAAACCAATTTTTGAGGGTTGCCGTCGAAGGAGAGGAATCACCATACATAGCATCCAAGCGCTCTTTAGTTTTACTGTGCGATGTCCCTTACAAAAACAAGAATCCAATCACCAATAGATATTGCTCTTTTTCCATTTTTCTAAAATCCGCGGACACGCCCGCTTTTACTCGTGGTCGAAACAAAACTATGATTCCGATTCGGCTAAAATTTTTAAATTAGCCGTTTACGAGAATATATTACATGATAGTAGATTTTTCTGAAGATAGTGGCGTCATCGGACGGTGAGGCTAAGTATTTATTGGGCTGCGTACGTACGTCCTCTTATTAAAAAAAAAACAAGCTCGATGTAACATTCGGTTGACAAAAGCAAAATACCTGTTTTTCTTTTCGAATGCAATCCAGAGATCAATAGGTTTCGAAATTGTACTTAACTTTTAACACATGTCTAATACTTTAAAGAACTTTCAATTTAAAGATTTAGGTGTGGATAATTCAGACGAACTTTTGCAGAGATAGTATTAAAAGTTGCAATGAGTGACATAAGCTTGGTATGGATCTCAGCGTAACGTAGTCACTGGATTATAATATGGATTATAATTTGAAAATTATAATATGTAGCATTGGTATAGAATAAATTTTTTAGATTCTTATCTAAAAGATCTTTTTAGCAAGAACAAAAATGATATGGATGGCATTTAAAAAACTTTCAAACCAATTTCAAAAACAAACAAAAATTAAAAATATAAATCGTAGTTATTATGATAAAGCATAAGTCCCAAACGTGAACATGTTCTTGTGTTTTAATATTATCTCGTCAGGAAATTGGCAATCCAAAATATAATAATATACAGTGCTTTTCAGATAAAACTATCAACTTTAAAGAACTTTTGAATTTCTAATTTTTAGAAAAACTGCATAAACACGTCAATTAATATTTGAATGGAGAGACATTATGTCATATTTAAGGTTGCTGTAAAATGCACCTTCTCACTCCGTATCATCCCATTATTTTTTTAAATTACCTTTTTACCCCTTTTTTATTTTATATGTGAATTCTCCTTTTTGTACTTATTTCAAAAATGTACAATACATTCGACTTGAAGTGATTAGTTTATCAGAGAGACATGTTTTCTTTTAACAAGATAGTATCTCTCTCACCTTAATTAACTGTAACAAAATTAATTTAACCTTTTTAAATATTTAACCGTACTATTAGTAGTACCTTTAAAATCCTTAGTCAAAAACCAAGAAATAAAAAACTTTACTTTTTATTAAAGTTTTATCAAAGGTTTTATTAAGACAAATATAAAGATATTATTTGGACATTCACTTTAATCGGTTAATAGCCAATGACAATTTGTTATAACTTGTTACAGTCTCTTTTGATAAGTGTGTAATTTGATCGCTGAAATGATGTACATTTTGCAAGAAAGAATCGAAATTGTAGGTTTATACTACAAAAATAATAATTGGGCAAGAGCTGCTGTTGGAATTTTTAATGAAACACACCACAATAGGCATGCAACTTATAAGTATGTAATTAAACTAACGCAAAAATTTGGAGCAACAGGTCAGTTTGCATAAAAAACATAACCGGCTTTAGGGCAAGTTAACTTAAAAGGTGAGCAGTCACTTGGTACTTGGTACAATTGGTACTAGAGTTAAATGAAGAATATTTTGAACGTCGTCTTGAATTTTCATGACGGAGCTCCACACTTGACCCTACCCATGTGACAATTTTTAAACGAAACTTTTCCCGCTCGTTGGATAGGTAGAAGATGACATATGATGGATTGGCCACCTAGGTCACCAAATTTAAAACCGTTAGACTTCTTTTTATGGGGGTATTTAAAAACAAAAATGTATGCCAGTCAACCAGAATATCAAGAGATTTACGACAAAAAATAGAGAAAGAATTGTTAAAAAAATAGTTTTCTTAATCCAATTTTCTTGCTTTTGTATTTATTTTTCTCGTAAACTAATCACTTAAGCATCCTGTGTTATACATTTCTGAAATCGATACAAAGATGAGAATCCAAGTATCAAATAAAAAAGGTGGAAGTAATTTAAAAATAATTAAGGGATATGAAGTATTTCAAGATTGAAGATTATAATAAAGCAAAATCATGATTTTGAGTATTAGAAAAAGATGGGGCCTTTATCAAACTGCATTCCAATTAGAGTAACCCTCGTTACTTCGGGAGACCTCTACGATCCTCTTTTTGTTTCGTTCTAACTTATTAATCTTCACTACCATATTTTTCTACATCGCAAATTTGTAGTGTACAGAAAATATTAATCGTGTTTTGGCAGATTTTCATATGAGTCCATTAGTTGCCATAGCGAAGAACCAACGAAAACTTGCAGACGAATATAAAAGCGAACCTTTTCCCAAAAAAAAATAAATAAGAAATCTTTAAGGCAATATCTATAGAAGTGTTAAGACTGCTTAATCAGGAGAATATGGATGCACTGGTAGAAATATTTAATGTATATGAGACAAGCGAAATACCGCAACACTGGCTCCAGTCTATCTTTGTACCTATCCCACAGAAACCTAACGGAAACAGTCGTGACTAGTTTCGAATAAGCAGTCTATTAGGCCAGGTCCTAAAACGTTACTTTAAGATAGTAAATATAAGAATTTATAACAGATATGAAAT